AAATCACTAGCCATTTCAGCTGTAAGAAGTTATATAAATAATTCATGCCTCACCATTCCCACTTGTAAATTGAAAATAATATTTTTGAAGACTGACAAAGATATATAATATATAAATAATATGCACATAGTACCTGTTAATTATGTGATTAGCATTAAAACATGGTGTTATTTGCATAAAAATAATTTGTAGTTCTTATGCACTAGCTAGGCATATCCACAGCAACAAAGTTATATTTCTTCTTTAAAAAAAACACCAAAAAACATGATCTCATTCCATACAGTTTGGGAATTGACATGTTACTCTCTTTACATATCTTCTTGATTAGTAAATAGCTAATAAATTATATATTGCTTAAACTTATCTAGTCATATAGGATTCTGAGAATTCACCATGATTAATCTTCACTTTGTTCACAAGAGTTCCCAGTAAATCAATTCTGGAGAAATAAAACCCACTTAAAAAGTAAAAGCAATCTGCCGAAACCGGTTTGGCTCAATGGATAGAGTGTCAGCTTGGGGACTGAAGGGTCCCGGGTTCGATTCTGGTCAAGGGCATGTACCTTGGTTGCGGGCATATCCCCAGTAGGGAGTGTGCAAGAGGCAGCTGATCGATGACTCTCTCTCATTGATGTTTCTAACTATCTCTCTCCCTTCCTCTCTGTAAAAAATCAATAAAATATATTTAAAAAAAAAAAAAGTAAAAACAACCCTAAAAGCCTCAAGTTTCAACAATTTGCACCACAGATTCAAGCATTCTCCCCTCCCATACCCCTGCACCTCTGCCCCTTATAGTAACAGACACTGTTGAAGCTAAACTATAATTTGGCACACAACATTTCTATACTGATGCAATGTGACAATGTTATTATGTTTGCTATTTTCCATATAATCATAGCCATATTCATCTTTCCCAACCTGATATTAATTAATATAGTTGCGTTCTATTCTGGACCAATGGGCAAAAGCAGAAAAGGATTATTGGAGCATAATGGTTTGATAATGATAGTGAGGAGTGTGTGTGTGTATAGCGCCTGCATGCATGACCTCATGCTCACACAAGCATGTATAAGTGATAGGTAGACTTTATATAAGGAATGTAAACTCTCATACCTGGCACACAGCAAGCACTCAATAAGTGTCTACATCCAGAAGTAAGTTCACAAATAGCTGTAATATGTAGAAAGTACAAAAACAGTTTCTCTTTTAAAAGAGAGAAAGGTAATGCTCAGCTCCATAGACCAGCGAAGCTTCCAATTTAAGTAGAGTCTGAAAATGAAGATATAATCCTTTAAGCAGATAGAGTGAAAGGAATGTATTCTAGGTGAAAGGAATGTATTCCAGGTAGAATGAGTGCATCCTCCAAGAGAAGAAGTGAACACAAGAAATGGGGAGGAGAATGGGAAAGTGTCATGTTGTTCAGAAAGCCACAGGTAAGATAATTGACAGTGACATGTTTCATGGACAAGGTTATACAATAAAGAGAGATGAAAATGAAAGCTGGAGTCAGAACGTAGAGGTTCATGAACTCTGAACTGATGAATTTCGGAGAGTGTTGTTGGTCACTTAGGTGTACTTGAAATCCTTATACTAGTATAAGATTCATTCACTTAGTCTACTTTGATTTTGTGAACTACTATGATCACCACTTACACACAACATGATATGCACAACCTGAGTTTATGAGCCAAAAAGATAAAGAATATTGTCTCTGAAAGAAGCACATAGTCTTACAGGGAGATAAGACCAAACATAAATAACTATAAATATAAGGTAGAAAGTGATGGCTGATAAAACAGTATTAACAAAAACCCATGGAATTCAGAGGAAGAAAATATTGTCTCTAGTCAGGAGAACCAGGAAGAGTGGATGATATATCAGGTAGGGAGAGAACAGAAAGAAAGAGCTGGTATGGAGGTATGGGGTGAACTGGAGGAAGAAGGAATAAGAAGTGAAAAACTACCGAAACCGGTTTGGCTCAGTGGATAGAGCGTCGGCCTGTGGACTGAAAGGTCCCGGGTTCGATTCCAGTCAAGGGCATGTACCTTGGTTGCAGACACATCCCCAGTAGGAGGTGTGCAAGAGGCAGCTGATCAATGATTCTCTCTCATCGATGTTTCTAACTCTCTATCCCTCTCTCTTCCTCTCTGTAAAAAATCAATAAAATATATTTTTTTAAAAAGAAGTGAAAAACTCAAACTACAGATTACTACCAATAACCAGAAAAAATAATATTGGGTACCTAAACTATGGCATCGATATAAAAGAATTGAGAAATTCAGTACACTACAATCACACTTGTGCACAGACCCATACACACTCACAATTGTTTTTGTCAACAAGTAGGTCATTAAGATGGCAATTTCCCAGGGAAGAAAGAATTTCACAGTTTTCTTTAGAGGTAGGTTTTTCCATCATTTGCCTAAATGCCTCTTTTTTTATTTTTGAAAGATTCCTTTAAGTTCATTAATTAGTATGATTTATCCAAGCTTACACTTACAAGCTACAAAGTATCCCTATCTTCCCATTGTAAATTATATCTCCAGGCTAACAAATAAAATGTTCTAGTTATTCTTACAACTCTATGGAACTTATCAGAGAGATGACATTTACGTCTATTGGGGAATGTGGGGGGGGGAGCAGATCTCTTTTACAATGTGGTGTATTTTTGTTCTTTCCTCTTTTGAAAAGTTTTATGTCTATTTTCCTTTTTTGTTTGTTTTCTATGCAGTTGAAGGTTGCAGTCACAGAATTTATGAATAAATACCTAAGTTGATTTTTTAAGTCAATCTCTGTACAGAAAAAGTTTCTAAAATTCCAGGAATCACACTAATTCTACTTGTGCAACTTATAGAGAAACAGAACGAGAGAAAATGCTGATTTTGATCAATTTAAAACGTGAAGAAAATGTGCCATGCTACTTTTAGTGCCATATTATCCACACATCCTTAAGTTTATAGTTACTACTGTACTTTCTACAAATTATATTTCATACAAAAATAAGATTTGCTTTTAAATATTAATTTGTACCTCCATATTCTCACTACGAAAACTCCAAGTACAAACCAAGAAACTTTCACATTTCCAGAAAACCCACTAAGAGGTAATGATTTAATCAAAATGCATGTATTCTGAGAACCCTCCAAGTAATTTTCATGCTGATTTGTGCACAAGGCATATCAGGAGACACAGTTATTGGATGACATTTACCTTATTTACAAGAAAATAACAAATAGTATTATCATTGTCATCACCACTACTATCACCCAGAGCTGCAGTCAAATAATTTTCTGTAAAAATGATTTGATGACAGCATGATACTTAAAGTAGGATCTTGATGTTCCTTTGGGAAATGTCTAGCAAATAGGTACAGAAAATTATATTATTCCTACTTAACCGGTATATGAGAATACACAATCTGGACCAACCAAATGGTAACTGTTTTATAAAACATATAAACTAGATTAAGCAAAGGTTGGCAATGAAAATTCTTTAACAATTTTCATGTACAAAACTCTCTCAGCAGATGTGATCACATACCTGTCAGGATCAAACAAGCTTAAAACTTTGCCATAATAAAAGCATAACAAATTATTAGTCTTCTGGTTGTCCTTCAGCATAAGTTTATGTTATTTTCTATGGAAGTTACTATTCTGTGTACATATATACATATCTTTATTAAAATCATCTATAAATGATTTGCTTTGCTTTATGTACATGTAAGTATTTACAGAATCTTACATAAGGTTATTCACATAACCCCAAATGAGATGTGATTTGAATTGTAGAAATACAGTGTTTGCAAATGTGTGAAAATTTATTTATAATTCTATGAAAGATGTCACCAGTTGAATGGAGACTAAATATTTATCCATCTATGGTGGTGTGATCTTTACAAGTATCTTCCAGGTACTATTTTACTTTTCATTAATTGTTGTTATACCTGCATTCAATATTTTGGATAAGAAACTTGGAGATGGTGAATTGTACACTATTGCTAGGCAACAACTCAGTTCAATGAAATATTATAGTTTGACCTCATTTTCAACAATGTTATACATATTATCTATAGACATAAAGACAGTCTCTAGTAGGAAAAGCTCAAAATAACATAGTCTTTTCTTAATTCCATTCTCAAGCCCAGCCTTCACTTACCCCATCATCCTAGAGCTTTCTTTAAATATGGTAGCATTTACAAACATAAAGCAGGTACCTTATTTTACAACTAGGAAGCTTTGTCACAAATATTTTCCCAGTACAGAAATGCAATGTTTTGTAGGAAATGCTTTTATCGTTTTGGTGAAATGCTATAAAGCATGATCTATTTTAACACTTAGAAACAGAACATCATTCTCTGTCCCAGTTAATTCAGTCCTAAAATCCTCACTGCAATCACACAGCTTAGACACTACCAGATATCCCAGGATACAAGGTGAACATTGTGTTTCTTTGTCATGCTTCTATTGTTAGACGAAAGGGGGAGGAACCCACACGTGGCTAAGATATAAGGGAGAGTACTTCAAGGACAAAGTTTAAACACATTTTAAAAGTAAAAGGTAGTTAATAGGCTTGAATACAATAGAGAGTGGAAAAATCATAATGAGAACTGTCACCATGTACTAACATGACAGTCCTCAAGATGTAACCTTACAAAATTAAACATTACTTTATATTAAGCAATATGAAGTCTCTTTCAGAAAACCAGAGTGAACTATCACATACAGGACATAAAAACATTATCTTCAACGAGGCGACCATTAGCAATTCAAAACAATGGACAACAGTGGAAAACCAAAGAATCACCATCATCAGCCTAACAGGTAGCTCATAGCATCCTTGATTAAAACTTTAGTATTTAAGTACTTCTTTTCTGTAGAAACAACTACTTCCCCTGCGTAGGACTGTGTAACTTACAGACACTATGAAGAGTCCCCATTTGAGAGCCCAGACATCAAACTGTAACAAAGATGAGGATCAGTCCGCGCGTGGATGGGTACTTACGGTCATTGCAGAGCGGGCCACTGAAGGAGGTCATGCTGCAGTCACAGCTGAAGCCATCCCACTGCTGCAGGCACACGCCCTGATTGGAACACGAGTCCTCTTGGCAGGTTGTGCTGGGCCCTGTAACACGATCCAAAAGAAACTTGGTTTCCTACTTTAAAATCCCAAAGTGCTTTCTACACGAGCTAGGTCACATAGAGTAGTTGCCAACACCTCAACGCATAGGACCAAACCAGTTTTGAAAGTTCTAGTTCACACACCTGAATTAGAAACAGAGAAGCTGTAATATGAATGTTTTCTGAAGTTTCAAGTGCAGGACAAAAATACATTATAATAGAAATGAAACCAACAAATAGTAAAAGCAAGCACAAAGCTTCCTGAATGATTTAGGCATCATCTACAACCCTCTATCGATGGTCTATCCCCATTTGAATTTCAGAAAAAAAATGCATGGATCTCCTTAACTTTTCACCAATGAATAGAGACACCATGGAAAAAATAGAGATTATAACTTCATGAAATTGAAAGAAGATTGGCAAAATAACTGAAGAAAGATATGCAAAAATGTCCTAGGTCTTCTATAGGTTTCCCTGCACAAAGTATGGATAAAGTTATGATTGTTGGGTGTTTCGAATAGGTATGTTGGCAAGTATCAATTCACATGCTTTGACAATTTCATGCAATTAAACTTAAAATGAATTAACTCTGTATAAATGACATGCCCCATTTTAACATACAAGTAAAAAGAATTCTATTCTATTTCTAAAGACTCAGAACTAGAACACTGAAAAACAAAGAACTAAAAGAAGGATGAAAAAAGCACTAGAGGTAACCACTATACAAACATAGTCAAGACTGAAAGCCTTTATGCAAACTAGGCTACAGAATGAGGTTTCTTGCACCGTGTGCAAAAAAGGAGAAAAATTAAATCTGAACCCAAACAACAGTTACTGCAAAAATGTTTTAAAAAATGTTATTTGGTGGTTTCCACTCTGTATTATGGGGTTTCAGTCTTGTTTTGTACACACAGGGCTATCTACCTTGCAAGTCAGCTTTCATCAATGCAACTTTGTCAGCAAAATAAAAAAAAAAGCAAAATATATTAAATGTTAGTAAGCAATACTGAAATGGGGCAAACACAGGAGAATGCTCAGATTCAGAAAGCATGCTGCTGTAAAGGGGGAGAGAAATGCTATGTAAAGCAAATAAATTCATACGAACAGCCATAAATCTTAAGCCAAAAATAAGAAAGCGGCAAGTCATTAGAATTTTACTATATATATATGTGTGTGTGTGTGTGTGTGTGTGTGTGTGTGTGCGCGCATCTATAAAAATATTAATGACATGAAATGAAGGCAAGTTAAAAAGGCTTCTGTATTTTTTCCTCTCTTGGATAGATATGTGCACATTACCGAAGTGACTAATGGCATTGTAGAACCCAATACTAAGACCTAACTTAGGGAAGGTTGAAAATAGAATACTAGCCAACGAAATAACTTTAGAATAAAATGTAAGGTATTCTGTAGTAAACCCAATTATATAGGTTTTATGAAAATGTCAAAATAGACACCAGTAATTGGGGTAACTGCTTTAGTGAGTGAGAATTATATAAAATTAGCCTTTATATAAGTTCATGTTTTTGTAAAAATGTCCATTTAAACATGATCCTTACAATCAGATTTCTATTATGGTTTTCTTAAAGGTATTATTCATAGAAAGTTATTAAATTTAGCCTAACCTACGTGAATTTTCACAACCATAATATTGTATATAATAACACTAATTTTTGGCATAGTAGTAATAATAGTTACTATTAATAACAGTTGTTATTAATAATTAAAATAATCTCACAGGCCTGGGAGACTGAATAGCTGTAATAGTTTTTCTCAATTATTGCATCAAATAACCAAGAACCACTGTATTAGTTTTTATTGTTCTTCTAATCTAACCAGTGAGAGGTAACTGGTCTGATTATCTTTATCTCATGGTAGTAGAGACAGAAAATGGTGTTTGATTAAAAAAAAAAAAACACCAAAAATCTCTTAAAGCAATAGTCCTTAGCTCTTTCCTTCCTGGGTTAAGCATCAGGCCATCCAGTGGTGCAAACCTTGTGGCTGTTTGATCAATAGATAGATGCTCCCTTGCAGAAAAGAGCAGGAGCAAACACTGATGAAGGGCCAGATTTTCATTTTTGCAATAATGATCAGAAATACAGTTATACAATGATGCCAAACTCTAAAACTGGTAAAACTGCAACCTTAAAGAGTAATCTCCTCATATTGTGGAGCAGCAACTCAGGGTACCTGCCAAAATTTATGTGGGCATAAAGACAGTTGTGATAATGAAAAAAAAAATGTCATCTCAAGCAATAGAATTCAAAGTGTGGTTCTCAGACCAATAGCATGCTTTATTACTTTTTTTTTTCATTATCACAACAGTCTTTTTATATTCCAGTATTACAAGAGAATGCATGCCTGTGCCTGACAAGATACATTTTTCAAAATACTCACTTTCTAGAACAATATTTAAACATTGGCAGGCATCTGGCCTGCAATTTATTTTTCCCTTTAGTTATATCATGTCCCTTTATTTTTATCACACACAAAAATTAGAAGCCAGCCACAAGGACATTTGTTTTTAGTGGTTAGAAGGATATGTCTGAAAAGGAAAGGGAAGGTAAAACTACGATCTCTGGAATCCAAAGAGACAACAGCTAAAAGTCGTTAGATGTCTGGTCTTTAAAGGAAGGTAAACTTGGGTTCAAAGCTTCTATCACGCACTCAGAAAGGTCACCTCCCATCTCTGAGGCTTGACCTACGTATCTAAAAAAGTCTGAAATACCTAGTTTATATAGTTTTGAGTAAATAAAATAGCCTATGTGAACTTAATGTCACCTATGCTCGATGATAGCTTTAATAATTATTTCTGTCACTTAAAAATGCGTTTTGGGACTGAATGTTAGGAGTCTATGCAAAGAGTATCTAACTTAGAAAAAATCACTAACTTCATGAATGAAAGTTAACTGGACTCAATACTGAGCTGAACTGAGCCTGGTTACCAGTCCATATTTCCTTTTATGTAAACAGGGCAATGTCATCTCAAGCAAAAGAATTCAAAGTGTGGTTCTCAGACCAATAACATCAGCTTCATTTAGGACCTTGTTGTCAATGTTAATTCTTGGGTCCTTTCTGAGGTCACACATCTAGACCTACTGAATTAGAACCCCTGGGGGTAGTGTCCAGTAATTGGGTTTTAACAATTTTATGGGCATTTCTGACACTGGCTAAAGTTGGAGAAAGATTCATCCTCAAGGAATCTGCAAGCTCCTTCCCCTAGCTAATATGTGGTATAAACTAAGATTAGTTAGAAATGAAAAACAGCAAGTGAATATTTAGGAAAGTCCAAGACCTTCTTACATAAAAGGGGCTTAGAGATTTGTAGGTCCTTTTGGGTAGGAATGATGAAAAATACTGAAAAGATATTTGGTTATGTCAAGTTTGTACTATTTCTATTAATATGAAAGTAAATCCAATGTGATTTGGACTCAAAATTCTTGAGATAATATCTAGAGAGAGAATTTATGGAGTACTTAGAACATGACCACAAATCCTAAAAGCAAGAAATTATACCTATCACAGGTACATCTGAGATTTCTTAAAAACATATAGGATAGAAATAATCATAAATTAAAAGTTGTTAATATTGATGTTGGAATTAAAAAATGAGGAAAATGTCAAGGCAGAAAGGCAAGGATAAGGTAACATTCCAAGAAAATAAAAAAAGAAAATGAGGTAAAAGAGGGTGAAAATATTAAACCTCAGATAATAAAGCATCCTACATAAGGTAAGGAAGGAATCGTTGTTATCATTTACTGAAAGAAGTTTATGGTTTTCCAAGAGGAAATAAAATTCAGTCACCTTAACCAACTTGCCCACTAGATTATTTTGGAAAATAACATGAAATATCATTTCTGCTAATATTCTTTCTCAATATCCCTTTCTCTCATACCATGTGCCAGTGGTGGGGGATCATGTGTGCTTGTGGTTTTCTATCTGATGTGTGTTTAGTTGTGAATGTATCTTCTCTTACCATTTTTTTTTACAGGTGAGATATCACTTATCAAGCAAATGGTATTTTCAAATATTTTTGAAAAATAATATTTCCAGAATAGTTTGTAGCACTTTTTTTTTAAATGTACTTATTCTCACGAATTAGATCACATCTAAATATTCAAGTTGTATCTCATATTCTTGTATCTATTCACTATAACAGAGCTATTCACTTAACAACTTTGTTTGCTTTGCTAAACTAGTAAAGGAGAAAACAAAAGTTTCCCTCTGTTTTACAGAATGTGTTATTCCAAACTTTGAAAGAAAGAAAACAAATTTGGTGATAGCATTAAAAATGATTTTGACAGAGACATCCATTAAATAGCCTAACCTTCCAGCAGGCTTAATATACAGTTTGAATTTTACCTGACTTTTCAGGGAAATATATGTTGCCGAGAGAAAAAAAAATATTCTCAAATTTAAAAAAATTCCTGTGTGCTTAGGTAGTTGCTAAGTCTACTGGCATGATTTGGGCTGAGAGGAAATGATTCATAACCTCCCAGGGGATAGGAATTCACATTTCTCTCTGCTTCTCTCATGGAAAATTTCTTTATGAATTTAAAGTTTTCAAAATGGCCCAAACTGTGTTCAACACTAAAGGAAAAGTAGCAACACATTCAGAACCACAAAATTCAAAATGATGTGATTAAAGTACATTTATGGAGGGAGAATTGCCCCAAGTAATCTGAGGTGTTGAAGTAAAAATTATCTAAAATGGAAGTAGCAATCAAAAAGTACTCCTAAAGATCTTAGTCTGATAGAAAGCACAAAAGAACAGAAAATACTTGAACACATTTCAGAAGAATGGAATATTGGTTTTGAGCAATAGGAGAAACCAATTTTTGCTAAAACAAACTGATAATATATATTCTCACTCTGCTGGGTAGATACAACCAAAAAGTAATTTGAGAATGATATCTAAACTTTATTATCTTGTTATATCTTAGTGAATGCACATTTCAAACAACAGGCTCAAACTGATTAACACTTGCTGGAAGAAATATATTTCCCAGTCTAAATGGGATGTCTATTTAATGTTATAAAGCAAGCATTGCAGAACTGATTAACACACTAATGTAAACTAAAGAATGCAGAGACGCAGACTATAATAAGAACCATGGATATAGCTCCTGTTTGACATTAGGCATAGTGTAGGTCTACAAACAGACCAGAAAAAACTAAGATTTATGGGTTGAAATGTTAAAAACACCAATAAGGATTTCTAAGCCTTAAGTGGGGGGTTGGCAGAAATGAATTTTACTGGCCAGAGAGATTTGTTCTCATTTACAGGTAGAATTGGAATTATTAGAGTGTGATATAACAAGGTGTAGTACCTTCGCATCCTCTCTCGATCTGTCCATTGCAGAAAAGGGCATCTGAGATGAGGTCTGGAAGCCGTCCATTTAGATCAACTGATGCCAGGCAGCCTTGAAAGCCTTCCTTGGCATGGACGAGTTTTGGCAAGGATTTGTATGTTTCTTTCGCCACTCCTCCTATATACAAGTCACCTGTGGAAAGATCAAAGTTTTGGTCACAAAAGGAACTTGTCCTTGACTTTAAACATACAATATGACAGGAAAAAATATAGTGAGGTTTACTTGTCATTAAATTAAAAAAAAAACAAAGTAAATTTAAAACTAGTTATTTTTCTAAAAGCACAAACCAATAGAATGCACTGAGTGCCATATGTGGGGCCAAATGGGCGGAACATGGATCAAGCAGTTACATGTTCCTCACTGAAATCTGAGCCCCATTATCTAACTTTAACAATTTGTGTGGGTTTTTAAATTTTTTTATTTCTCTGATCATTACTAGTCTCATTTCTAAAATGGAAATAAAACCTGTATCAGAGGGTTATGTGAGGATTAACTGAGAGAAAATATAAGTATCCATCATAGTGAAAATATCTAATAGACAGTCAAATGAACTTTAGTTAATCAGAAGTTCAACAAATTCTCTCTAGGGTCTAAAATTACTTTTTCTACTATGCTTAAGCCTATTATCTTTGCCAGTACCTATTTTATTTGCTAACTTACTCCCACAATAGTCTAGATATACCTGAAGGTGTTTGTTTGTTTGTTTTTTGCTAAAGTTATACCACTTTGAATTCTTTATGCTACACTGGGATCTTTTAACAAGCTGTCAATTGCCCTCCAAATTTGATTGCAGTTTCTAATGCAGCACTTTGTCATCTTCATGTGTCTAGGTTTATGGGCCACTACTCTAAAAATAAACTGCAATTTATGTTTGACTCTATTTCCTTTCCCATCACAGATTATTCACCATATCTAAATGGCACTGAATAGATGTAATTAATGGACTCTGGTTCATTAAACACTTAATCAATGCAGAACATAAGGCGTGTGACCCTCAAATCCCATAATACACTGCCCCTGTTTACAAGTCCTGATAAATATACTCTCTTTATCTACTTCTGATTTTTGTCATTTGAATTTTCTCTCACATTAACCATTCTAACTTTCATGCCACTTGATACCTCTTCCCCATTTTCACATTAATCCCTTGTACTACTCATGCTTATTAGGACTCCTATGTGTTGTCTTCATGGGACTTGGGACCAAGGAGAACCGATACACATGCTGTTTGTTTAGTCATGAGTAATAAGGTACTTGGTCTATGACCCAGAAACCTTATGTATTCTACCAGGATCTGTGAACCAGTAATAAGCTAACCCATTAGCTTGTAGGTAGGGTAAAAATCAATCCACAGATATAACACTCTTGAATTACATTGATGAGTACATTGAGCTTGCTGAAAGTCATTTAACCATAAAAAAACTAAAAACTTAAGTCCCTCACCTACTAATTAAGGCTCTAAGTATTACACTGGAATATCATTAATCTTACATAATTTTCACTGAAGGTACTAATTGTTTTTACTTTCTCCACCTCTTAAAGAATGTAACCACCTATTGACTGTTAACTACTATTTTTAAAAGGTGGCATGTTCTTGGTTTGAGCTGCAATACTATTTTCTAAATAATTTGATTTTTTCTATACATTTCCTTTTTCTCCTTAGATTTTCCTCTCTTAAATTTCAAGCCATTGTGTTTTAGATGCATCAGAGAAGAGAAATGAATCATAAACGGAAGTTACAAAATATCTTTCTATATGTGAGTCTTAATAGCCAAGACTCATAGAGAAGTAAAGTAGAATATACAGGCAATTACATAGAAGAGCAAAGCTTTCTTGCCTCTCCTGTGGGCAAGTGGGAGAAGACATATAAGCTCAGTCATTGGTGAATGCCAGAAAGAAGACATTGTGCTCTGATTTGAGGGTGAGCTGTGGGGGATGCTAAAACCTCAGGTAGGCCTACAGGGTGATATTGATCTGTGTGCATTTCTCCAAGAGAACTCAGAAGTGACAGTGAGATCCTTGAGAAGAAATGGTTGCATGGTAAATTTGGACATGCTGAGATTTTAGGCAGACTCACAGAACTTCCCATAGTCTACTGTGGTGGGTGAGCAACAGAACAATTCCCTGAAGTGGCACAAAAAATAAGCAGAAAATGACTGACCTGAAGGGGTTATGCATACAAGAATGAAGGTGCTAGGTAACAATTCATTGAGGATCTGAGCTATGAATACAGAATATCCAAGAGCAGCTCCTGTGCAATCTCTCCATACATCCCTCAAATTGGTACCCTGGGAAATCCCTCACCCCACTTAATTTAGACACAATCCCAGGGAAATAAGAAAACTAAAATTGCCTGAGATGATATTTTCACTAACTCAACAAATCATACCTCAATGTAGAAACCAAGGTGAGTTATAGAAAACTAGAGATAGATTTCTTGCACATCTGAGATGTGGGCTGAGAGTCATATCGTTACATGCCAAATGTCAAGGCAGGAAAATGCTCCCTACACTAGTTTATTAAACTAAAATTGTTAGGAAATTCCAGCTCTCCTCTAGACCTAATAAATGTAGTATTAGGAACAGTGTGTGTTAAATAAAGAATTATTGGCACTGTTTCAGATATAGAACTCTACTGAAAGTTAGGTAGGGAACACTCTCCTACAAAATAAAGAGGTAATATGCAAATTGACCCTCATGCCATAATGTCATCACAAGATGGCGGCTCACACCTCAGAGGCTGGGTTCCCATATCACAAGATGGCTGCACTCATAGTGGAGGTGGGATTCCCATAATGAGTGATCAGCAGAGACCTGAGGTTGTGTGGTGCCAGGCTGGGGCGGGAGACCTGAAGCTGTGCCCACCGCCCACCTGGCAGGGCTTGATGGGGAAGCTCAGGCTGCACATCCTCCCTCCCCCCCCTACGTGCCAGGCTGGGGGACCTGAGGCTGCACTCCCCTCCTGTCAGGGCTTGACAGGGGTGGGGCCTGCTGGGTCTGGATTGCACCCAATGAGGGTGGGGCCGGCTAGGTCTGGGTCTCACGTGATTTTTGAGGCATGCACAGGTGGGGACTTGACTCTGGGTCCCATGGCGCACCCCAGACTCTAATAGGAGGAAAATTTTCATATACATTTTACTAATTTTCTTTCATTTCTGACACTTCTATTATAATATAAAGGGCAAATAGCAATATTAAAATATTTCCTCTAATTAATTCCATTGCAATGTTCACAAATTTCATGCACCAGGCCACTCGTATTTGAGAAACAACCTTGTCCTTTGTGATGATAGCCTCCTGGAGGAGAGAGACTGTGTCTTTGTGTTATATTCTCCCACAGTGCCTAGGACCAGCTATATAGCACAGTGCATACTCAATAAATATTGGGGTCACAGTAGAAAAGAAGAAAGAAGAAACGGTAAGGCAACACATGGAGCGAGCACTAATTCTAAAATGCATCGACTTCCTTTCCCCACTTCCTGCCACAATCCTATTTTTTTTTCTATTAGCAAACTTATTTGCTGAACAACTTTTTAAAGTGTATTAAAGAAAAGTAGTAAGCTTTCCTTTGTGCTATTAAAGAGCAGAAATGATCGATTCAAGCTGTGCAGGATACAAGCCTCAAACACACCAAGGTGGATGGGTTTGGCGTTGTAAGTAGGGGCATCATTTTCATTACTGAGGCTGCACTTAGTACCACCACTTAACACAGTCCTTATAAACTCTTCATATGGCAGACAGTGGTCTAAGGTCCCCTGTTGGGTTGCCATATGAAGAGAACAAAGAAAACCCTTAAGTGGCCTGAGACCTGTGCAGCATTAGCACTTCATCAAAGATGCAGCTTCTCCTTTTGATCCTTGGTGTGCTGGCAAGAAAATGGCCCATTAGCACTAATGGGATCTCCCAGGTAATGTCCTGAGCATGGGAAGGAGGGTATGCCTTTTAATGACCCTTGTGTGAAGGAGAGCCAGGATGGACATCCTCTAAAAGCCGGTTTCCTCTGAAGCTATCATGTTGCCCCTTCAGCAAGCTATGAGTGCTTTTTATACAGACCCTTTAAGCAGACCATGTATGCAATTGACAGGGCAACAATGGAATTGGGGCAATTTTCACAGAAGATGCAGAGAACATGTACAAACAAAGCCAGATAATCTCAAATGTCATCTCTCTCTCTCTCTCTCTCTCTCTCTCTCTCTCTCTCTCTCTCTCTCTTTAATCTCAAGAATACCCTTATCTTTAGCACAAGTGCATTTATATGTATGTGAATATCACAGGTATCCATTCCCTAGTAGTTGGGCAGTAATGAATAGTAGGGAATAATGCACAAGCCTTAAAGTTTTACATGGCTACCAATCCTGGCTCTGCCACTTACTGGTTGTCTCAGTGTAGGCACATTGTTACATAACTTAAGAGTCATATTCTTCACCAGTGAAATGGGTTAACAATGCCTACTTGTGAGGATTATAAAGAATGTGTGTGAGCACTGGGGGATAGCCTGCACTCAGCTCATCACTGCTACTGGTGTGGTAGTGTGGGGCATGTCTGGTAAGGACTATGCATCTATAATGTATCTCATTCTATGTTGATTGTGCTGAGACAGAAGAGGAAGTAATTTGTGTTCTAGAACTGTGTCTTCTACTACACTATGGGCAGCTCAAGAGGCTCTGCTGACATACTCAGGCCCTCTTAAGCTGCCCATATTACCAACACTGAACCTGGTAACATAAACAGAACAGTTGCTAGATAAATATCTCTTATATAATAAAGATGTAATATGCAAATTGACCATCACTCCAACACACAAGATGGCCACCACAAGATGGCTGGCAGGAGAGGGCAGTTGGGAGGAACCAGGCCAACAGGGAATGGCAATTGGGGGTGACCAAGCTTTCAGGGGAGAACAGTTAGGGGTAACCAGGCTGGCAGGCAGAAGCGGTTAGGGGCAATCAGACAGGTAGGCAGGCAAGCTGTTGGGAGGCTGCAGTCCTGGATTGTAAGAGGGATGTCCGACTGCTGGCTTAGGCCTGATCACAGTGGGATCTGGCCTAAATGAGCAATCAGATATCCTTCAAGGGGTCCCAGATTGGAGAGGGTGCAGGCTGGGCTGAAGGACATACTTTCCCACCCCCTGTG